CGGCGTGAGACTACCCATTCCACGAGATCGCTTATCCCGCTCCAGTACGATTTTTCATCTACGAGACCGAAGTAGGTGAACTCGGAGGTGTTACGCTCCTTGCTCGAAAATTGACTCGTCCCAGTGAGCGCAATGCCAGTTCGAGCCGCTGATCATTATATCCTTATTACTTATTATGTTCGTGAGCATCTCGTTATGGGTTGTGAGCTATCTCGACCCTTCATAATTCCAAGGATCGATATTTCCTCACATGAATGATCCCTTCGCTCTGACGACTCATGACAAACTGCCGCGGTTCGCGGTTGAACTCATATCAATATTCCGCAATCCGCCGGGACGAGAGGCTCCCCCTTGACTTTCTCCCCCTCAGACATCCGCGTTCGCCGAATACCGTCCTTAGACATTTATATTCGCGCCGACTCACGTTGAAAAACTTCTATCTGACGCTCGGACTGTGATCCCCCTGGCGACGAGCGCGGCACCACCCGCGTTTCGGACCAACATCCGAGATTCCCTTGTCATTTTCTCTGAGTTTTCGGGGACAAGGAACTTTGAGAAAAAGGAGCAGGCTTTTATCGCCGCCGACGAGAGAAGGACGATGTGCACCGCCGCCAAGACGCAATGGCCCATGGGTAAAGCACAAGAGGCATTTTGATCCGAATTCATGACGCTTCTCGCAAGAGTTCCAGCAAGAATGTAAGAATATTAGATGTCTCCTCGTCTCCTGAGACGCGATTGTCTGCAACCATTGCTACTTCTCCGGAGTCCGGGGACCGGCTCGAGTTGGGAAGTCTGTTCCCGATGAATATTCACGGGTAATTAATCGACGGAGAGTCTCAGCGAGTCACATCGGCGCGTGCGAATATTATTTGTAGGTAATCGACAAGCGCAGCCGGAGCTGACTTTGGATCATTCCAAGCTCCCCCGCTTTAGTATGTCTCGAGAGGACATTTCGGCGAAGATGCCGGGAGCGTCGAGATTCAAATCCCTTGCAATTTATCTTCATTGACAACTTGTCTCCTCCACGACGAACGGCCTGCAGTCAGAGCACTTCTTCTCTCGGAGAGCAGAGGTCTTCTACTCCGAACTTTGTGCTTTGACTTTATGTCCAATCCATGGACTAGCGGGCATGGGTAGATCGTTGTTGGTTCTACACTCCGGCTTCTCAATTTCGATCGGGACGATTCCCATCCCATAGAGCCGAAAGAAAACTGAAATTTTGCAGGAGACTCTGAGCTTCGATATCTAATCGAGGAGACGAAACGCCAAAACGCGTGGGGAGTCGGAAGAGACAGCGACCCGTTGTCGGAGGGACGTGGATATAACACGTTTCCTGAACTCGAGATAAAGATTCGTGGAAGTGATCAGCAGCAACGATCCAGGGAAGCCGAGGATAGGGACTGAGTTCTCCGAGATCAGCCTCCTGTCCTGCCAGACGGGACAAGGGGCCATGAGTGACCACAAGCGCCTTTCTTTTTATGGAGTTCTCCATTAGCGAGACGGTTATACAGGAAGAAAGGATTCCGACCCGTCCGTCATTCATTGATTGGAGAGCGCCGCCCATTGTTCTCGCGGCTCCAATCTGCGTCGCATTGACAACGACGTGCTCGTACTCGTCGTACAAACGCCTGAATCCAAGGCTGCGGGTCCCTGAGTGATTTTCCCCAGCCACAGTTCCAGAGAGAGTTCCCCCGCTCCTCGGATGCCCGGGGAGTGAGCGACCCCGTATCGAGCTTACCCGGCAGCCGAGAGAGAGAGAGGAACGCGGGGATCAGTTCCGAGTCCGCTAACGCCCCAAGACTCGCTCGAAGCTTCAGTCTAGGGAAGCGATCCTTGGGTGATCCGATAAGGCTCGAGTGTTTGTTCGTACCCTCAGAATCCTTTAGAGAACCCATTGGGCCGTCATCATACAGGTCGGATCCACTCCTGGTTTGCGAGCTCGGCTCTGCGGCGCATCGAGATCGAACTCGGAGGAGCAAGCGTTTTCCTTGTGCCCGAGCTTGCGGCACTCCGGAATCACGAAGCGCCGATGACAGCTCAACTCATTACGGCCTGCACTTGATCATTGTTCGATTTTTGGGAGGAATACGAGATACTTCGGGAAGGGATCTGCTTTTTAAAACCTCTTTTTGGGAATGGTAGGAGATCCGTGGCGGACCTCCATGTAAGTGCGAATTCAGGATGACTCGCTCTGAATCGGAATCAGGACTGGAACACCACAATGACCAAACCAAGGCTGAGGCCCTCCGAGCCACTCTCCAGAGAATAACATGTCGGTATCGAAACGGTCGAACGTAAGACCCGACTCGAGTAGCCCACCGGCTCTGACTTCGTTCCCACGAGCGAGTGATCAAACGGATATTTACATCGGGATCCTGCAGGCCGGAATTCAATCTGTCATAGTTGCCCGGTTGGTTCCAGGAAGCTTTCATGTCGGCAGATACTCGCCAGATCTTGTATCGATATTATCCTGGATAGCCTTGCGACAAGTGAGGCAAACTTATTGAGGTATCGACTATGTTCTGCCTCGATTCATCTTCCTCCATTAGATAGCTCAGAGTACCGACGAGGTCACTAGCGACAGTGACTTATCGTGGACATCGGGCGTAGCTCCGAGGGTCAAGGCGGAAATTATTCATAGCGGGTCAGTGTCAGTGGATCGATGAATTTATTCATGAGCTGCAACTGAGGCGTGGCATGATTCGCTTCGATACTTCTTCAATGGGAATCAGCACGGAAACTCTCCCTCCCTCCGTCGCAGCCTGGAGCTTCCACGCAACTTCCTCGAATATAGTCTATGGCCAGTGCTCGATTGAGGTTCCCTGAAGCGACCAGAGCCCGGACCCTACCACCCACGGGATGCTGGCGCGCAGCAGAACTGAGTTCAGCAACATCCCCGGTGACGCGCAGACGTGGACTAGACATTAGACATTCGCCAGCTCTTCCACAGTACAGAGCACAAATTGGAATGAAAAGTTTCCCAATGAAAATTATTTCGATCATTTCATTCAGAGAGCGGTGTCCGAGGTGATTTTGATTCGATCCCACGGGAATGAGACCCGGGGACGATGAGCTCCGATCCTACAGCGGAATTGAGTCGTGAACGAATCATCCTCTGGAGGGAAGATGACTATTGAGGAGGTTTTCCCGAGCGGAGTACCGAGAATCCTGACCGAGGAGACCGATTCCCTAGGACCGAAGTGGGCCTGAATCGCTGAGGATTACTAAATTTCGCTTATCGCCCGCAGTCACCAATCTTCGCTGACAGTTGCTAAGGGCCTGTAAGCGGGATACTAGCAAGATTTATATATATCCGTACTTGGGAGAAAGCCCGTCTGTTCGCCATTGTGTCAGAATGTCACCACGTGATTAACATCATGAGAAATGTGTCTTCTGATCTGAGCTCAGAGGGTAGGATCAGAGACGGACCCGAAGTGAATGACCGTACCCGAATTAACGGCCTCTCCGAATGCTGGTTACGAATGAGATCCTCGGGAACAAAGCCCCTGCGAAACATCCCGGCTCGTCCTCATCCAATATCCGATACTTGAGACTGAAAACAGGGAGAGAATAAACGCTACTTTCCACGATTCCATAGTTCGAACGAGGCCTCCGAGCGTACTATCACCGATTTCCTCGGTACGGAGCGCTCTAGTAGAACATCATGGAAGACATGTGGACAAATTGATTCGACGCCTCGAGCGAGAGCCAAGAAGCGTGAGTAAGTATTTGATCGTCATCACGAAGAAGAGTGCAGAAGACTCTGCCCGAGGGGCGAGACCGTGGCTTTCACTGCTGGAGTTTTGGCCACGTTCGCTGAGGCAGGAAAATATTCAATGAAGAACGGAGCGAGTGCACAAAACATATGCGCATATCATCATCCAGTGGAGCAGGCGAACAAGCAAGCACAGAGCCGGTCGGGTAAGTGCGTTGGCGTGCTAAGATCGCTATGCAGCGGCGAAACAACAGTGCAGTCTGAAATCAACTGTGGGGAAAAACCTCCGGCGTCTGCATCCCATCTTCGATCCTTCTCTCCAATATCCACTGCTTTCGGTTCTGAAGTCGACCCTCACGCTTCCTCGTCCTTGTTTTTTGAATTCGACCGAGCTGAGGGCTCTGGCTTCTGATATTGGTTCGTCGAAAGAAGCGAGCATGCGTCTGGTTACGGACAGCAATTCAGCTGCCAAGAATGCCGCGGAAGAATAATTACGAATAGTCGAGCGGGATTCGAGAGCGAAGGGTTGACGTAGATCATTTCCCGGCAGTCTTCCGTCACTCGATTTCCTCCCGGATGGGAATTTCGCGACCTCTGCGCTGGGATCCGCATCGAGCCGCAAGCATGTTGGAGTTTAAAGCGCCGACCGCTGAGACGAGCCATATCGATTCCAGAACGAGATAGCGACTGTTCGATCTCCAGAAGTCTTGCGGCGCAATGAAGCGATACGAGAATAGCTTTACTTCCGACTGAGCTCTCTGAAGCAGTTGATTCGATCGAACTCGCCCCTTATGGGCTCGGATCAATTCCTCGAATTCCGCCTCCACGTAAAGGCTTCGAATCTAGATTAGCCCGGGAAATTATGGGTCGACGCGCCTCCGGTTCTGAGCGATGGTAGAGTTCGAGACACTTCAGCTCTTGACATGGAACTAGTGTTTCAGCATGCTGAACTCAAGATTTGGTTTATACAATATCTGATCTTTGCGAAGAGACAAGCTGACAGGTCAGTGACAACGAAGCTGACAGGAATAAGCCGGGGGTATCCAGGATCTTATCAGCGAAAAGAAAAAAACTGATCCTGGATCAATACTCTTCTGCTCCTCCCGTCGACTCGCGATGCTCGCTCCGCTGAACCGACCGTTGCCTCAAGCTGAGTCCACTAGGCGACTGGGCTATCCCGAATAACCTCCGCGCGACTGCGAAGGGATTGCAACAGGTCGTGAGCCCCGGCCTCGGCATCTCGAGAAACTGAAGAGAAGCCCAAGAAAAACTTCTCCCATGACAACTCCCTCTTTTTATACATTCATCCCTCTGATAGATTTTCGATGAGACACAATCTTTTCACCTCTTCTCTCAGGCCCTTATGAAAATACACAAAATTTACGGATGCTCGGAGACTTCCACGCTTCGATGTTCAATCCGTGTACTCTAAAAGAGATGCTCTGTAGACGATGCTGTCACATCTCCCAGCATTTTTGGAGACATTTGTCGCGAATACCAGGAGGTTCACCTCATCCCCGACGTTCAAATAATGGGGATCGTTCAGTTGGACCTCGAATACCTGAGCGGGGATCTCAAGCAACGTCTTCGGAAGAAAATAGTGACTCCAATCAGACAGGAACTCGAAACGACCTGGAGGAAGAGAACGATGTGCTCCAAGAGTCATGTCCCTTTCATGATGTTTCATGTACATGCGTATGTGTATCATCATGATCTTCTTCCAAATGAAAGAAAAATGAAAGGGCTGAGTCACCTTCATCGTGAAGGTAGACCTTCTTCTTGTCGACGTCCACGACTTCGGCCCGCTTGTTGCTCTGCAGCAGAATAGGGGTACCGGCTGCAATCTTGGTGACGTCGAGTCTGACTGGCCGAACGTGCTTAAGATGGATCATTTCTTGATCCAAGATGTCCAGTCCGGTCTGAGAGGTGCACAAGAGCGAGCCACCGTCGCATATACCCACGACCTAAGATTACGAAACAGACGTGATTTCACGGAAAGAAGCCGCACGTATCAGCGCCAAAATCCTCCTGGGGAGTTCTATGAGAGTTTCGAATTCGACAGCGCTCAGATTCAAACTCACCGTAGCGGAAATCGTGAACACCGCTTCCCTCGATATCAACGTGAGCATCGTTGCGATTCCGGGGGGGCATTGTGTACTTGTGTCTGAGGAACGAATTCATGAGCTCCCAACCACGGTGTTCCAGCGAATTGTTTCGGAACTGTCTTGCCGAAGATACGATGTGGATGAGGTCCCTTCTTCCATCTGGACGGACAGGGTTTTGAAGAACTCACCATTTGTGGTCATCGTGGGGCGAGAACTTTCTTCAGTTACGATCTCGCAGCTTATAAACTCGACGGGCAATCGTTGCCGGGTGTCGACAGAATTGTTGATTGAAACTCTTGGAAGTGCGGTCTATGTTCTGTATCGACTTACGGTCGGAAGAGCGCGCATTTTGTAATTGCCCTTTCCTGTCAGATCGTTTTCGAATTCGCTCGAAACGAAACCCAATATTTTCCTGCGCTCGCCGCGCCAGCGCTATCTGCGACCGGAATTCTTGGCGCGAGACGGTACTTCGGGGGGCTAAGTCGAAGAATCGTGTAGAACCCGAAGCGGCTCAGTCCTTCCGGGAATGAGGCATGCGGTAGAATATAGGAACAACCCGGGAAAGCCAGCTTCGGTATTGATATTTTCCCGTGGAGCTTGTTGCACTCGGTGAATCCTACGTCCGAGTCGAGATACGGAGCTCAAATTTTCGAAGGGTGAGCGAAGTCCTTTCCAAGTCGAAATGTTCTTCGGCGAACCTCTCACATCTGTCGACAATAGCTATGGAGCATCATGATTCGCTCGAAGCTCCATCAACTCTCCACCGGTTACATCACGTTGTTGTATCGGAGGGAATATCGAGTTAATGTAGCCGAGGGACCCGAGTCTGAGTCGCTGAATTCGCCTCGACTCGGGAGTCAGAATGGAAGTGCGCGCTGCGCAAGTCTCCGAAATAAAGACGAGTCCCAACGCTTGCACCCGCGAGAGAACGAGTGGGTCAATCAATCATGTGCGGGAGAGCGATGAAGGGCATCAGGGCAATCGGGAGTTCTCAGCGGGTCCCCGACTCGAACTGGACTCCTTCGACTCATTCATCTGCAGTGCGCCCCCTCGGACTTACTACAACGGTAACTCTTTTGCTCAGTACGTTGCTCTAGTCAGACTCTCGTTTCGAGATTGCAAGATGGAAAAGTTTATTGATACCTTCTCAACACCGAAATCGGGAGAACTTTACAAGCCGTGCCGTCTACGGCATCCTGCAATGCCTGGATAACATATACTCGAAGGCACCGTGGTTGTGAGTGCCCCTTCATGATCATCCTAAACATGAGAGGTTTGAAATGAGTCCGCTTGTGGACGAGGTGAAAAGGGGACCTTCTACGTTGGATCACGGAATTTGCTAAATGTTTAAACGTGTCGATGTGATTCAATCACTCCCTATCAGGGTTCTATCGTATAATCCCTGATCGAAGATTATCTAGGCTGTGTACGATTCTACGTGTTCTTCGACGTCCAAGCGAACGGACCTATTTCCGAAATTAGCACGGATGCGCGAAGGAAAATAATTCTACATAAATTGAGTCCTTCATCTTCGATGAGTCACCGCAATGGTATTCGTCGCATGAGAATGAGAATACCTCCTTGGTTTTCATGTTAGTAGTTCCATGAAATATACAAGAATCCATGAAATTGCCCATGTTTCCTAATGCGATATAGCGTCGCGATTCGATTGGATGTGCGTCCGTTTTTTGTTAGGTAAATCGTTTGCCTGTAGAAATCCTTTGCTCGTTGGTGTGCTCGCGTCTGCTTGCTTGCGTTTGTGAATTGCCGTAGATTCCTGCATGTGTGTCACTTACAGGTATCCCCACCATCCGAGTGCATTTATTGTGTCGTTCGTGAGAGAAACGGAGTCCAACTGTTGGGAATGCGTAACTTCCAGCTTGCTTGATCACGCGCTGACAATCGCGATGTGAGCTTAATACCGGTCATTGTGTACGAAATCGTGTTCATGAAGATTTACTTTACAACGGATCTGGGACGAGCTGGTGCCTGTAACGTTCCTATTTCTCCCAGATTCGAAATTACACGGTCTCTATCTAAAGGAATCGATGTCTAACAGTCCCGTCCGCGCATCTACCTATCCAAATGTACGGACAGCTACTCCCAGCGAGTTCCGTTGTGAGCGCTTTGCGGAATTGCCTATTGTAGGCATGATTGGATTTTCTCAACCCACTCCTGGGCCTTCTTCTCGTTGTCGGCCATGAGGCCGTAAGTTCGACTGCGAGTGCGAAGTTCGAAGGTCTCCCCGTGCTGACTGACGGAGAGTACTTCACTTAGTTCGACGACGCCGCGATTCGCATGGTCTTCATGACCTTCGTAATACCTGTAGAAGGAAGAGGAATGGTCGTAGGTATATCCTTCATATGAAACAGAACCCGGATACCAGATCCGGTGGGAGTGGGAAGAGCTTCGTATCGCTACAGAATGCTGGAGAATCCGTGAAAAGCGAGATCGACTCACCTCAGCTGATGCTTCGTGGAATCGAGGACAAACCAGCGCTGCTTCCAACCCTTTAGAAGGGCTCCTCGTTTCGACAGATAACCTTCGAATGTTTTTGTCTCTATGATTCGGGACGTGAGCTGATCATACGCCGCAGTCGATTCCACCAGTGGAAGTATTGGATTTGAGGGTGGCTGGGAGATCAGCGCGGATTCCTTCTGCTTGACCTTAAAATTCGATCGGGGGACATAATGTGAGTACGAGAAAGACGCGATATCTGGCGCGCTGTTTCCGAGACGGTCCCATGAAAAATACCTTGGTGCAATTGGAGGGAGCCACGTCGTGACATTTGTCGTGGCAGTTGTAACCACAGTCCAAGCATTTCATGCCGGGTTTAACCAGACCCAGTAGGAGCTTCGAACAATGGTCACAGTACGTGGGGGTGTTGTAGTAATGCCTTTCGAAACGGTGCGCGTGACTACTGTCCTTGTTACTGAAGCCTATTCAAAGAAACGAGGAGTTTTCTTAGAACCTGCGCTGCGGGTGGATCAGTCGGGAATCGGGTCTGTGATCGACAGGAACAAGATCTGTTCCCAACTATGATGGCGACCCGAATTCGGTATCAAGAGGTAGTCCGAGCGGAAGGCTCTGGAATCTGTCCAACGATTGCTCACCTCGGACAAGGACGTCGACCTTGCGAGCTATCGAAGCACCAAGATCCATAGCAGATGGACTTAGCAGACCCCTGGCCACCCCACAAGCTCCGAAGATGCCCGTGGGTGCGGGCACTGGGAGATTCTGAGCTTCCAATCTATTCCAGACTTGTTTCCACTTCTGAGGCGTCCTCGCGAGCTCGAGTTCGGCTTTGCGAAGTTCTTCCAGGAGCAAAGGGAAGGACGCTTCTTCCTGTACGCTATGATTGTATCTGGAGAGGGAAGAGGATTTTTGAGCCGAGAGATACGGCGGATAGACGTCTTGGGAATATGCTCATCGTCTGACACCGAAGAAACGAACCCGTTCATGTTGATTCTGCGCTGATATTGAGAAGCGCGGTTCTCTGACGTCGACTCCTCGTCTTTATCTTCCGATTGCGTTTCGTTCTCTGCCAGAACGATTTCGAACTCGTAAGGAGAGGCGTTCGAAAGATGGTCCTCGAGATAGTATTCCCAAACTTCGAGATTCGCCATCAGGTACTGCGGCTTCAAGACCTCATCCAGCTCGGCCGTATACCAATAGTTGTGGAAAATTGGAGCGTTCGAGTGAACCTTCTGGATGTATTCGAATAGGTCAGGAGCTTCGGAATCGACTTCGACAGATTGAGCGACTCCTCCGTCGTTTATGAACGTGCGGAATCGTCCCGAAACGCTGTGGTACGCGAGGAAGCGGAGATAGAACTGGTTGAATTCGAAGGAGGTCGGGTACTGGAATCGGGAAATTCCTTATTCACCTATTCATATGCATTCGATGAAGAACCGAAAGAACTACGGCTATCTCTTTTGGAGAAGTGTTCGGGAGGAACTGAGAGTCCAGACGCGGATTTCTCGACTCCAGTTCAGGGTCGAATCACCGGAATTCGGTTTCTTCAGTTAAGTCTCACCTGAATCAGGAGTTGATGGACGCAGTCTAAAAATTGGAGGAATATCGGTGTAAATGCCGAAGACTGCTGAGATATATTTCCCCGGAGCGCGAATCGATGTCCGAAAGCTAGCCATTCTTTCTCGATTAGCGTGCAGAATCCGTCAATTTTCCTAGAATAAGACCAAACAGTCATTCCGGCATCGGGCACGTCTCGCGAAACCTCAACAGGAGGTTAAACGATCGATAACTGCACGCCTTTACTGAGCTCGTGATTCTGCAAAGACTCCTGGCGAGCGCTCCTAGAACAAACCTGTAGTGCGGATCCAAACAAAGTTGAGTGAGGGCAGAGAGCTGACAGGTGACATCCCAACCCTCCTCGAGGCATAAAACCACCGACGATCCGTCTTCGTGCATAAGATCCACGAAGTTTTTCGTGTGGTAGAGAAGCTCTTGGATGAGCTGAAGCCAGCCGGATTCTTCAATCCTAGTCATCAGCTTCAGATTGGGGTCCACAGTCGCTGGACATACCGCGCTGCAGAGCTGCTTGAAAGCAGTGCGAACCTACGGGGGAGTCAACGGGCCCTCTTTAAACCACTCGGGGAGAAAGGCCGCGAGATCAATGTGCCCGATTTAACTCGGTGCAGGATGAATGAGCAGAACGAGGAGGACCAATCCCGATCAGGCGAGCGGACTCCTCACCTTGGCAACTTCAAATGGATCCACCGGTATGAAGTCTGAGTTGTGTGGGGCTTTGACACCCCGTGTCTGGCTTTTCTCGCTCACTATGTAGAGCGCCGCCCTAGAATGGATGGGAAAAGGCTCGAGTTCGTCACAGTTTCGCGGCATATGACACGAAACGCTTCGAGAAAGGAAAATCATGCTCTTCGAGTATTTAGTCAACTGCTCCCCGCTCACCTATTGAAGAAGCTGGGGCTATCGTTATCTGAGCTCGATAGCATACTGGAAAGTGAGTGTCTATCCGATATGCTTTCCCTATGGGGCGGTCTATACGTGAACGATTTTCCGCCGGACCAACGATGTGCGTTCGATCGCGAGAACGAACCGTTCGTAAGGGTACCCGATGCCGTCATGCAATGACTGGCACCAGCGATTATGGTCCCGATATATTTCTCCTGCTCGATCCACATCGAAGTCTCTCCCTGAGTTCCCTGAGCCCCAATACGGTGCGCGATCCCTTTCCCATGTAGAGCACTGCCTCGGAGGAGCAAAGCTTTCGTTGTCGGATGTCTCCACGTTACGACCGGGAAACGACCGTGACGATAGCACTTGGCTACTTTTTGGAGACGATCCGAGTTCGCAGACGAAGGCACAACAACTAATGGGGGATAGCTCTTACAAAGGGTGTGTACGTGTCCGACGCTAAGGAGCCCGTTCTGACCGTTCAGCTGCAAACGCTGATAGTCTTTACTCAGCGTGGCTGGAAAGGAAATATCGGAGTTCAGATAATTCTCGCGGCTGATTCGGATTTCTCGAATGGAGCGTCGGTATCCCAGCCGTGGTCATACCTTCCCAGGGAGCCATGCTGAAGGGACCCTCGTCAGGGAGAGTTGCGAGTATGGTTCGATCATTTGGTAGAGTTTGGGTGAGTGTCGCAGCATAACTTCGTCCCTGAGGAATAAATTCGAGCTCTAATGACACATCTCCCTGCTCGACGGAACGGTAATGAGCATTATAATCCGGAGAGTGGCTTTCACAGGATGGGCATTCGCTTACCTTAGAAATTCCTGCTTTAACGGCTGTCTGGAACATCTTTTTCTTAAATCGAAGCGTGTGATGCTTCTCTTTGAGCTTGGGCACAACCGGTATCTGGCCTGGGGAGTAAGGAGGAGCGTTGGAAAAGCGGTAGCCTCCGGGTCGAAAAGCGGTTTAGGTTTTCCCGACGCTCAAGTCTTCACAAGAATAACTAGCATCCGCGAGGGAAATACGCAACGTCTCCAGCCATACCTTTCGAAAGTGCGAAAAGTCCTGCGCTTTGCCATTGCTGGCGTAATAAGTCAATCTTCTCTGGCGGAACCTCGAGGTCAACGGCGATCTTCATCAATTCGAACGTGTGAGACCTGAGTTGTAAGCAATCACTGTGGCACTGCTCCATGTTGAGGTCTGCAGTGGATTCCAGGGATTTCAATGGTCAAGTTACTCTGGGAGTCTAGCTCATCAATGCATGCTCTCATGTGGACGAAGCCGATGTGATTCTTGAGGATTCCACTCACCTTTCGGAAACGCAATCTTCTTGTCTTTACTGAGACTCGCGATGGGGAAAGCTCGAATCACATTGTGCTCGCAAAGGTACGGATCTATAGGAGTCCCCTTGAATATTATCCTATAATTTGTGACGAAGAGTGCACCCTCGGAAGGTATGAGAGGCATCACTAAATCTTCCTGGCGTCCATCCGGAAGGAGGTAGGCTCTAGAGTCCAGAAGAGTAATCTTTGTTAGTACGACGTGGATGACGAGCCTTCGGTAAATCTCTCAGATGATGGCCTCCGCGCAAGCATCGTATCTATTCGAACCCCACGGGAATGGGGGAGAAGTCCCTCATTGGGTGGCGGTCTTTGACCGCATCGTCTGAAGCTGTTCCGCGGAGGAGCAAGGCGGAGAAGTCAGTCGAGACGAAACTGTCATGCTTAGCAGGAGTCGAAATCGAGACAAGGAGAAAGATCACAGACATGAAAGCGACTCGTCCTTTGAGCGGACGGCCGTGTTTGGGCAGATTACTAGGCTTGGGAAATTTAATTTATTCCGACTTCCGTGTCTCGTGATCTTCCATCATTATCCCTCACGCATCACGACTGTCTCTCACCGCAGGGCTCGGATCAAGAACACATCGATACGCTCGTCTCAGAGCGTCAACAAATGAATCTTGACTCGCCCGGCGGATATTACTGCGATAACAACAACACGATGCCGCCAGAGAAAAAAATGACCACACGAGTCGACGATTCCTATTCAATGTACAAAAGGAAGCGAAACCTGCATGAACAATGCCTATGCGGAGATGGACCGCTAAAGAGATCGTATTTGGACAGATTCGGCGCTCGCAGCGGAAATCTGGACTTCGGATCCCCGAGCATTATCCTCCTCTTGACATCACAGCGTACTCAAATAAATAATAGGGACCGGCGCTTTTGAGATCTCAAAGATAGAAGACCGGCTCCCTCTGAGCGGTTTCTCTCTTTCTGAAGAGGGAGCCGAGTGATGAGAGTTTAGTCTTGCTGTAATTACTAATTGGCTCAGGTTGCGAGATTGACATGGACCTGATTTCTTCGGCGATGAATGTCTCTCCCGACAAAAGACAGGGCTGTTGAATCTTGGCTTTCAGAACTGGTGGCAGTCTTTCGCTTTCTCGATGAACGGCTCTCATGTCTTCGAGTTGCATATCGACGCGCTGAGGTATCATCGAGTGCAGTTGTCGCATATGCTCTTCGGTGACAAAGGCGTCAGTGCAAACCTTGAAAACAATCGATCAGTCAGAGTCAATCGTAATGAGCTTCGAGGATCGGTGGGAACTGTGGCGCAGTGCCGGCTGCGAATGGGATGGCTTGTAAGACTGAATGGGAGGCTTTTCTCTTGACCTACCTTGTCGATGAACCGGGCGATGAATTTAATGACTCCTTGACGCAGAATATTCGAAGAATCGTCCTCGTTCGCAAAGGAGCTCTCCCCGTCAATGGAGTCGGTATCGCAGATCGAGTTGCTCTCACTGCCGGCTGCTTTATTGTTACTGACATTATGTCTCTGCGATTTGACATCTGGAGGAATCCTCAGACAGGTAATGAGGTAAATATACTCCACCTGCAATCAGCAACAGCAGTTGAGACTCTCCACCCCTTGGGTCTAGGATTTGAATACCCTGACAGGCTCATCGGCTTTCGAGAGAGCTATTCCTCTCATCCCCATCGTTGGAGACGTCACCCAGAGAGAAAGTTGCTCTCCGGTTGTGATGATGATAAATTGGTGTAGGAAAATCGAAAACTTACTGCCTGGCTGTACAGAGTCTGTTCCTCCCGCTGATTATGAGTATCAGTCTGGAACTTGTCGGTGTTCCCTTGTGATAATTTCATCTGCGAACAGGATAAAGGAATTTTCAATCATTCGGAAATGAAAAATCAAGGATGGACAGCCATATTTCTCTGCGAAAATTCAGCTTCGCGAACCTGAGTGGCGCATAGCTCCAAAGCGACAGACGGGAAGTCTTTGCTCTCCTGGTATAACATGATGATGTTGCGTTCGACGTCTTGATGGAAAGCCGCTTCCCAGAACTCCATGCTCTGCCAGACGGCGTGATCTTGGAGACACGTATACGCAAACTGAACCACATTCGTGGCCAGCCGTCTGCAGAAAGTCTGCGTGAGCGGCAGGAGGAGGATTGCGATGCCGATTGTATCGACGTGAGTATTGGGATCATCTTGGAGTGCGCAGTTCATGAGTCGCACCACAAGGTCAAATTGGCTGAGTTCGAGCTCTACTCTGAAGTTGCCGGTCACGTAGCGCTGGAGCTCGTGGGCCAAGGCTGCGCGGTAAGCTCCGTTCTCAAACGCTCGTATTACACCCGGAATGCATTTACGTGCCTCGGAGAGGTTCTTGTCGAAAATACACTTGACACAATTGCGTAGGACGTCGAGTTTCCGCTCGACCCCGCTCACGGATCTCGTCGTCATGCCAGCGTTGGGTACGATGCGACCAATTTCGCTCTTAGAGTTCGAAGATCCGTTCGACTTCGCCGCACTCTGCTCAATGATTGCCGTGATCTGAGGAGCCACGAGAGGGGGGAAGGCGGGTTGGTGGATGCGTGTGAAGGCTCCTTGGGTCGGCTGAGGTACTCGTTGCAGAAATTGCGAGCCATGATGCTCGTTCTCGTACAATAGTTTGGCGATATCTTGAATATGGTGCTCGCGACTCTTGATGAGATGTTGCATCTCCACGTAGACCTCGTCGAAGAGATCGCACACTCGGTACGGAGGTCCACGATCCACAACGAATTGTTGGAAAAACATACAGTTCAGAAGTTTCTCGACGAACTCCGACTTGTTCTTGGCCTCGCGACTGAGGAACGCAGATCTATTGAAAACGATCAATGGTCGCGGATGGATGCGGACCACGGTCAAACAACACCGGTACCCCTGTAGCATTTGTGCGAAAATTCTCAGGAAAACTGCGCGAATCTGTTTGTCCAGCACGGCTGGATCGTCTCGTAAGACGCTCGGGTCCCGGGAAGTGTTCGTCGCAAGTTCCGAGGCGAACGCTTCATCCGCTATGAGTAAGTCTGGCTGCAAGATCATGCAGAGGTCTGCATGGAGTCTCTGCTGGAGGGAGTCCGGCAGTTTGGGAATCGTGACACACTGGGGCACGTCGAGCGATCCACTGTCCAGGTCCACCATCATGACGTCATAGATGTCGAGAATTTCTCCTCGGAGCGACGCGTGGCATCCCATAATAAACGGTGTCGGCGTATTCAAGACCTCGATGAGGGCCGACGGCAGCAACGGTATGTATACGTGCGTGTACTTGAACGGATACATCAGCGAGATGATCGCGTGGCACGATTGATGCAATCGCATATAGCTCTGGGAGAAGAACACGATCTTGAATTCAGCCATGGCGGCACAGAGCAGTTGAACCTTGAAGCAAATTATACTTTCAGACCGGAGAAGTCGAATACTTCCCTCAGGGCGGTAGTTGAAGGATTCCCAATCATTCCATAGACAGACGCCGAGTCCGTCATTGCTATGTTCGCTCAAAAAATGTGATGCTCACAACGTTGTGTGCAGAGAGACGGGAGAATAATGAAAAAACGCTGGTCCCGGTGACGGGGACAGCGGCGAACTTCCTCGGCTCGATGACCTGCAGATCTCCAGCTCCTAAGGAAAATCGGAGGGGAGGTGAGCCCGGTGGAGGAATCGTGACCGCTCCCAGCATGTTCCCAATCAAGGTCTCCAACGGAGCCTGGAGTCGATCTACGTGCGCTGTGTATATCAATCCCAGACATTGCCTGTGAGAGTAGAGGGTGATGAGTGGGGGAAGTCAATCTGATGCTCGATTCTGATTCAACCCCGAGGATAATTTAGATCTCTGATGAAAATTGTGGAAGTCTCTTAGGCTGTTGTAGCCGATTTCATGGAAAAGTTTTCCCTTCAGGCATCGGAAGATGATAGAAGGATATCCCATAAAGGGACTCTCGAGTGGGATACGTAGTGAGGTATTCATGACCTATCATATCGGCGGAGTCGATCTTGAGGGCACAAGATGCCTACCTCAGGATATTAATATGGGCGTGACGAGCGATCAAAACGAGACACCGAGGAGCGTATGTTAAGGAATGCCTCTCGTGATCCTGAGCGAGGGCAACGGGCTCCGTGAACGCGAAAATAGCCGCATTATGTCGATTGCCATTGATGTCGGTCAGAACCGCCACGAAAAACGTCGGCTTCGCGGGTTGGTTCGCCAAGGACCAGCCCTGAGGCTGGCAAAAGGTGTCGATACCTGAAAAGAATTTCATTTATCGAAGTAAACTCGACTCGGGAGAGTCATCATCTCTATGGAGACGACTGTACACGAAAAATTTGGAGCACATGATTCGTCTTATATTAATCGTAGTGAGTACCTTGTATGAAGGGCACATCTGGCCAATCGGTTACGGGGTATCGCTGTTGGATAGCGCCTTGGCTGCTTCCTGATCTTTCTTTGGTGTGGTCGAAACCGACCACGACAAAATAGTCCGCGAGCCGAACCGCCATTTTTCGATCAAATCGGCAGCATCCCTAGCTCGGCAGCAGTTTTTGGGGAGACGTTACTCGTCGCTGTACACCATCACAAATTCCACCTACGTAAGAGAACGTTGAATCAGTACACCGGGTCCAGTCTCAGGGCGCGATTTTATATATTCCTGACTCCGAAGTTTCGAATTCTATTCTTGAAGTGGAAGAAGAAAGGATACAAGTTCCGCGTTCTTCGATCGGTTCCGAGAAGAAGTATTTTCTATCGCGATGAGAATATTACGATTTTGGCCCGTTCTTAAGAGCCAATCTAGGCGGGACCGGAGCCAGAGTCGCTGCTCCCGCAAGCCAGAGCTCAAGTTCGGAATCAATGGGTACCCAAAGCTCCCATCAATGCGGAAAATCGGGCGTCGAGAGGGCTCCCAAAAATTGGCATCAACCGAGCGACCCTCGGCGACTGTGTTGAAAAGCCTCGCAGAGGACATGATCAAGACATCTGTGGAATGCTCGGTGCGAGTGACTGTCTTTCGAAACGTTGACGCTGTTTCCAACTCCGTACCGGGAATAGGAGCAGGGACCCTCATGGAGAAGAAGCAACGACACTCGAACGTCGAAATGGAACACGTCAATGCATAGGTGGCCCCATTCGAGGAAAGCGATCCTCTGAACGAGATGAAATATGTTTTTTTTAATAGTTATTGTACATTCGCGAATGCGCTGCCGGGGAGCACGAGACTGGAACACTCAATGTTTCCGAGAGAATAGTTTCGGACCGCGCTCCTCTCTTGTGAGTATCCGCAGATGCTCACGGGATAGCCCGCAAGCCCGGGCCGCATTTTAGAGAATCGAGAACGGAGCCGTTCTGCGCCTTGAAAGTGAACCTCGGTTTCCGAAGAGATAGCCCACTGTCCGATTCGGTGCAGCGAAGTCCCGCCTGAGTCGACGTCGATGTCGCGATGCGGACCTGCATCCGATATAAATACAGGCCGCTCCCTGAGACCGTCGGAATATTCGGCGGTATTACAGAATACCGTCGTCCAGCACACCGAATTTCCCTTACGCTTTTACAACCATCCAGGAGCAGATTGCGGCGATTCGAGCCAAGAGCCACCTGGCTCTCTCAGAGAGACACAAGAGACTCTCGGGCTTACGACGAGCTCGAGGCTGGTGGAAAATTCGGGGCGAATTTCCCCGAGTGACATATCTATTCATCTATTCATTCTGAATACAGTGGGGTCCCGGTTAGCGGATCTGACAGGTCTCGGGACTTCCGAATTTCCTGTTTTTTCCTGCTAGCCCGTCGACCGAGATGCACGATGCAATATAGATGCCTAGCCTCCCATTAAGACCATTTCCAATTGTGGCTCCGCTTTAGGAACTTTTCGGTTAACGAACCTTTCCACGGAACCGAGCAGGTTCGCTAACCGGGACCCCACTGTAGTTTAGAATAGGCTGCTATCCAGCGCGGTACCCGCGTGATGGAAACGGATGAGACTGCGCCGAGGTCGTCTCCTCCTGTCCTGAGGTCACCGAAAGAGACAATAATGTGCTTAGGTCCAGTCGTCCCTAACCTACGTGTTCAGACTAAACGCCCGTACGACGCTCTTTGAGGGTCAATTCCGCTGCATGAAATCTCGAGCGAGCCTGGAGTCCGTGATTTCATCGTCCAATCAGTGCACGTCGGTAGCTAAACTTGGCTGCTCTTCGCCTCAGAATGATCAGCCGAAAAACCGCCTTCTAGACTTCGAAGATCCTCTTGAGGGACTCTGCTATAGATTCGAGGGCAGTGAATCTTTTTTCCTCGTCTCTAATTAATGTGAGCGCGGTCAGTCTGTCGGTCAGTCGAGTGATCGCTCGACTCGCTGGGCGTGAAAGAGTGAGATTGAGAGAGGAATACCGTTGTCGGGTCCGGTGGTCGTTCTCTTGTGACATTTCAGCCATGACATAACGGAAACAGCCATGATTTCCAACCAGCGTGATAACCGCTCGCTTTCCGTAGAGAGGATCGGTCAAGGAATACGTTTCCGGATATTTCGATCATGAAAATCGTTCAAACATTTCTTACACCGGAACAGATTTTTTTCACCTCCATGGCGGATACCCGTGATTGTCCTGCGGGGGAACGGGCTATGAGCCCTCGAGAGCCCCGAACAGATCCCGAAGCAGCCCGTGGACAACGCAGATGAGCGGCTAGTCAGCAAAATCAGGAGTATTCGTGAAAAGCCACAAATTCGTCTTCTACTGGAAGCATCCCCCGCGCGGTGACACCGAGGTCTGATTGATTTTGAGCGCTCCGAAAGCAAGCTCCAAACTTCGCTCCAGAACCGCCTTCTGAATCCACCGATACTTCTATCGATACGGCCATCTACTCCCGTAAATCATCAAGACAGCTGATCGTGAAGATCGGGACAGCGCTCCGCAACGGTCAGAGCCCCCCGCCCCTAGTTAGATGATAGCCCGTCTTCCGACGTGAACTCCATTCTCAAAAAAATCCATAATCACCCGCTGGTGGACGATCATTCCCTTCGACTTCTCATTATTTCTCTACAGGCGTCGCAACCGTGCAAGCGTAGCGAACGCCATGAAGGGAGTCGCGGATAGGTCCCGCGAAGTTACAGAAGAAAACATAACTTAAACACAGCTCTGCCCGGAGCGCATAACTTCGTTCTTATGTCAGCAGCTGCATGCGCAGTCGACATGAGTTCCGAGGACGTTCAAAATCTTCCTCGATTGAACATGTTTCTACTAGCTTGACTTTGAAATATATATAAACAGCATCGCGCTATATCGCCTCGGAACAAGTTTCTGGTTTTCCAGTCCGACATACACTCTCAGAAAAAATCTCAAGGTGTGGTTGCTCCGTTCCAGCGTTGCCACACCTCGAAGCGACTGATGTTTGCCCCTCAACTTTTCCATTAGCTTAATTACTGTTTCTTCAGCTCGATTGACGGATGCGACTCGAATTCCACTTTACACTGTCCGGACTCACAAGGTTCTCTCGGACGGACGGCTAACGCACGGATCACGAGAAGGACGAGTCCACTCGAAGAGCTTGTCGACCCAGACCTCCCGGGAGGAATTTGCCGAACTCAGCAAAGCCTGATTCCTTTTTTCAACTCGCAAATGCTTCTCTGAAGCGTCTGCAGGCTTTGTCGGGCAATTGGGCGGGAGGTTCTACATCGACCGATGTTCACATGCTTATCCCGGCTTGCGGTTCGAATCACTGATCACCAAATCGAACGCTATCTGACGTCCTGATCGTTTGACAGGGAGCCCAGAGCGGACTCTAACAACTGGCCAGAAACTCTCTATCCTCCACTGTCGAGTTTCCTCCCAACCAGAGACAGGGATAACACCAGCACCAGGCAGTACTCACTTAGTGAGCCAGTCAGTCGGACCGTCAGGCAGTCACTTTCCACACATACACACTCGAGAGAGAGATCAGCAACACCGCCAGCCGCCGCTGCTGCAGCAGAAACACAACTACCGCCTCATCACAAACAAGTGCGGCTGAGATTCAAATCCAACGGCTGTAGTCAGCGCTCTCCGTACGCTACTACTGATAGCTCCGTGGGCGCAGGTTTCAACTTTAGGATTGCTGTGGGAGATCGGTGTGCGGGAAGCGAGCGTGAAATTGGAGAAGGAATCAGAAATTCGGAGTGTGAATTAAGAGAATGATGTCGATGATCTTTTCTGCGAGCTTGAGAAAAGGGCTATCCGTCCCACAAAGCTCGATCTTGAGTCGGCCGGTGCTTAGCGATCCGGGGCATCGGCTCGTGGGGCTTCGAGACTGGGATTATGGGGATGTGCTCGAAGTTAAGATCGTCAATGTTCTCCGCAGAAGCTTCCCGGCATGCAGAGCCAGGATGAGTCTTGTGTATCCATAGGGATAGTCTCCGGCACAAGCATCCAACCCAGCCACTGAGCCCATCCGTGATACACATGCGAAACCAGATTACAGCGCGAATCGGTAGTCGGATTTCACATGAACGCCTAGGGAGGCAGTTGAGATCCATTCTCCTCGGCGGGCATACGTCGTCTTGAATGACTGGACCACAGGAAAAGCTGGACGGATGACAAAACTATTGGTTGCGTTTACTCTGAATCGATCAGTCTCCGATGCTCGAGTAGTCGGTCACAACTCTGGGGACCTCATGCCTTGAAAAGTTCTGGGGGAGATCTCCGAACGAGGCGGAAGATAGCACCCCGCGAACCTAGTGTGGGGTCGCGCGATCTGGTTCTTTATCAAAAGGGAGGACATTAACACCATCGTGTCCACCACCCCATGGACAGTCTCTCTCCCTGTCCGGCTCTTTGATAGTGCTTGTTCTATTCGCACAGATTCCGTAAAGACTTCTCGTGGCTCTTTAGGCGTCTGATGCTTACGAATCAGATCTGACGAGGAACGACTTCCTTCAGTATCTCAAGCACACGGCCTGCATGGCCGGCCGACAGAAAAGGGAGTAGGACTGTCATCTTGCAGCAGACGGGCAGCAACCCTACCTGGAGCATGTCTCTCTGTCGCATCAGGGAATTGCATCGCTGAGAGTCTTGCGGCAGAAGATTCAGCGTCTTCCTTCGACCTATTCCTGATCCGACAGATCATGTGTCCACAATACTTGGACGAGTCTCGGTCTTATCCGGACTCGACGGCATCGTTCCCGGAAGTCGGCCCAAGGGCACAACGGCAGAGAATTAGGATCATCAATTGATCATATCAGGAACTCTCGGGTGGAATCGAGAGTGCAATGAAGGTTATGCTGCGACTGCCGTGATTGCCTCCACTCGGTGGGAGTCGGCGGCCAAGCTTTCGAAATCGAAATTGGCGCCACGCGAGGACAGGCCAAGGGACCGCGGCCGCATCGAACAGCCAGTCAATGGAAATCGTCGTCATTTCTTGGCCAACTTCATTGAGAGGGTAGCATCATTTTTTCGTCGCTCTTCGCCGAGTACTTCAATTTTTTGTGCAGTCTTAGCTTTTTCGGACCGTGTGTCTGCCAAAATTCTGAGAGTCGGAGTGAGAATCGTGGATTTCCAAGCGCAATCGCCATCAAAAACTCTGTGAATTCCTCTATCTTCCCTACAACATACAACACCCGGACTCCTGTCTTCACTCGCAGCAGCAGCCGCCGTAGAAGCAAATCTGTTAGCCCTAACGAAAGTGTCTGAACACCAAGGGTCAACGAAATGTCAATTAAAAGCGAATCTCGAGGTAATTATGAACATCTGAGCGTTCCCCGGACTCTCGATGAGGCTTCCGAAACTCAAAGGCGGAGATATTTCCTCTTGGAGTGCTCCGTTTCGGTCCTGACTCGCCAAGACTTCAACGATCCATCGATCGATTGGGGCCGACAGTGGAGAAGTGCATGTACTCCAGGAAACCTCGCCGAGTCTTCCCATCGAAATATTACCGACCATATCGCGTCCATTCTCCGAAGAACTGCCGTTCATGTTGACATCATCGTGAATTCAGCATTGCGCAAACCGCTCGCCATGCGAGTTGGTAAACAGTTACTTTTCGTCATGGCTACGACGAGTCCCCGGCCCGAAACTTGTCGATCCCTTTTCGTTCCGGCGATTCTTGCGGGATGGCTGAAAGCCTTGGCGTTTCGAATGACATGCGCTTTCGTTTTCAGAAGTCGGATCTGTGGACGAGCGAAGTTCTTCGGGAGCCAACTCTGTTACAAGCGACGACAGTTCGGAACGTGAGTTGAAGTCCTCTCAGGTTGGGAGGCCGCTTCGTGATGAGAGATCGATCATCGAATCGACGAACAAGGATATTTGCAAAAGATTTCAACTCAATTTACTGGGCTCCCGTTCGTAGGAGCACTGGTATCGACATCTTGTGGGTGACTTGATTCTTTCTCTTCCTCCCTTCGAAATAATCGCTCCGCAGCCCTGGAGCTTCTAGTACCTAGATTGGGGTCAGTCACCATTCAAGAACTCTGAAATGGAACTAATCAGTGTTTCCTATGAGAATCACTAATACTAGCGAGTCGACTGTTCGCTTTTTTTCTGCTGAGATCATCGTTTGGGATTCGATATAATCCGCTGAGATGGATCCTGATCTCTCCAGTGTCTTTGACACCGATCCGTGTCGAGAATCTACCGACTTCCGCACCGTGCGGGTTCCAATAATCCTGCTCGATCACGGGCGATTCCCTCCGTGATCCCGACCCTCATAGGTTTCCGATCTTTATTTCCGTGGGGCAGATCACTCCTCAGATGGCCCTCGAACATGCTATCCAGAGAATCTTGGATTACTTTCCGGATCCGAATTGCGGCCTGAAATATCCTCAATGCGTTCGATTCAATGTGCAATGTTCACATATATCTTCATCACAGGTACAGCTAAGAAGTCGGAAGTGCCACGGAATGCAGCTCTGAGGTATTCGTATGAATTTCTCCTCAAGCTTCAGAAGAGTAAACTTTCGAAGAAGCCACCGGAGTGCATCGATCGACTTCGTCAAGAATGCATTCTCCGAGAAACCTGGAGATCAGATAGTGAGTACTCAAAACCTCTCGTGATGATGCATGCGTGTGCGACTTTCGCAAGATGCACACATGGCGTCTCCCATCTGAAGTATGACGTTTCGGGTCTTCGGAGCTGGGCCGGGAGTCAGAATTCTACTGAGCTCGGCTCAGTCCCTATTTCTATGTGGGAAGCCGTGTAAGAGTTGCCGCTTGTGGCACTCCTGAAGGATTAATGATGATCCTCCGCAACCGTCACGATTCCACGCTCTCACGTGCTCTGTTCGAGAATCAGACCGCGGCCCCGTCTCTGGAAACATTTGCATCGTTATCAGCACGACCTCTTCGGGTTTCTGTTCTAGCGGGGACTTGTTCCATCATTTGTTTGAGCTTGCTCTTCAAGTGATCGATCAGCAGCTTGAGCGCCCCCGCTCCCAGTTCACGGAACTGACGTGATGGCCATGGAATAGCCCAGTCTGAAGTCCTTGCTTGCAGGAGGGATTTGATTCCGCAGCCGTCTCGGTCTGCGGGACTCCTATCATTTATTATGAGCCCTCGAATCACAGTGGATTCCGTTCTGTTGCAGGGGAGAAAGACTCGGAAAGAGATACTGAATTCCCAGCCGCCTTAACCAAACCACCTCCCAGCTTTAGGGGCGGTTGTAAGGTCGATAAGGCTGTCCTGTCGGATAATCCAAATCCGGGGAGCAACAGCGTTAAGAAATCAGCTGCCTCCAAAGGCGAGAGAAGAGTTGGAAGCGGCCGTTTGGGCTCGTACAACAAGGATCGCGAATCCGATTATGGCTATCCACAGGAACGATCTCGGAGACTGTTCGATCATCAAGTCAACGAACCGCTGAAGAGAAGCAACGGCCGATATGTGGACATGAATTCGAGCCGAGGACATGCCGACGATGAGCCCGAGTGGTTCACCGAGGGTCCGACGTCGCAGACTGACACCATTGAGCTCGGTGGCTTCGAAGACAAATCAAGGAAGGTCCGCACCCCGTCGCCTCCCGAAAAACCCACATTTAACGTAGATGGACAACGTTCGCAGGAGTTTGTGAACCTTCTGAAGGAGATGTGCGACATACCGAGCGGTACACGGAAGAATGCCTCGATCAACTTCGAGCAATCTTTCGGCAACGGTCACGACGACGAGGAGCACAGTTTCGAAGACGAGGCCATACAGGCCGCTTCGCGAGCCGGATCTCGATTCATGTCTAAAGTGTTCGCGAAAACGGTCGAAGACGATTCTTCGCCTTCGTCCAAGCCGGCCTCACCGCCAATCAATGCCAAAGACCTCGAGACGAGCCCTAGACCTGTACTCGAGCTGTTGGAGAACACAAAAGAGTCCACATCGGTGTCTTCTCTGCTGAAAGATATGTTCCCATCGTCCGGTGAGAGCCACCGATCAGAGAGTGTTGCAATCTCTTCCTCGGGAACAGCATCGAATTATGATTCCCCGGAGGGCCTTCAGAGCAGGAATTCTCTCCAGAACGGCAACATGTTGGGCTCCATCTTTCCGACGCCTGTCACCATGGGTTCGTCGACGACAGCTCCGAAGCTGTCTGCCCCTAAAAACGGTGTTCTCGATGTTGAAAAAGGGGTTCAGGGCAAAAACATTCTGGAGTTGCTCTTGAGCGGGGCGAATGTCACCAACGTTCCTTCAACGCCGCATTCCGCCAAATCGGTGGAAGAACTCGAAGCTGATCTGAAAATGGAATCCCGTCTCATGCAGATGACTTATCCTGCGGGTCCTTCTTATGATCCCTTCCTAGACGGTCGTTCAATGATGGCACAGCTTATGGGCAATGGAGCCATGGAAAGATCGCTGGGCTTGCTGAGCGATCTCCAGTCGTCCGTTCGGGATATCGGACAGGACGGAGCTATCCATCCGGGTGCTCCGTACATGTCGTCGAATTCGTCTGCGTCGCCGCCTCAACAGGTGTCGGCCTCTCAAATTCCGGCTCAACAAGCTTATCAACATACACAACAACGACAGCAACAAGCAAATACTACGCACAACAATGCCTCGCTCGACATCATGAGACTCCTTATGGAGGGGAGCTCGATGCCGGAGAGGGATCAGGGCAAGCCCTACAAGCAGCAGGACCTTCGGAACGTGCCCACTTCGGTCCTGTTGCAGGAGAAGCACGCGCAGCGCGGCAAATCAGGACCCCAGGCCGGCGGACCCCGACCTATTGTCAAGAGTAACAAGAATCCGCCGCCTTGTCCTCCACCCACAGCGCCGGCTGAGACCGGTGAAGATCTCCTCCAAAGGTTATTCCATCAGCAGCAGCACGAACAACAATTCGCACATCATCAGTATCAACACCAACAGCATCCTCAACAACAATATCATCATCATCCGTCGCAGCAAGCTCATCATCAACAGCAACAACAGCGATTCCGTTCATACATGGCTGGGCCCCAAGGGGCCGTCGGCTTCAACGGCAACACGACCGCCCCGGCGCAACATCAGGTGCGAATGGCACCTTCACAACGTCGTCCCCTGACGGGAGGTCACGGCCAGCGGTTCCCCCAGGGCGGAGCTTTCACACTCGGATCGGGCCCTATAAGCAACCATGCTGCTAACGTGATGGCCCGGAGCTCGGAGAGCTCGATCCTGAGCCCCGACGACGCCCTGGCAAAATGGTTCGGCAATCTCGGCTGCAATCAGCCTTCGCTCCCGGTTCCCACCAATGTACTCCGCGTCGAGGAGCTCGAACGCCAGAACAATCGTCTCCACCAGGCGAAACCCACTGCCTAGGTTTCGAAAACCAACAACGCCACTCAACGGAGATCCGACGACCGCGAAGTCGGACTGGGTCTCCCGTCGGCGATTGAAGACGAAACACGTCGAGTACGGAAACGTCCAGGTGAGAAGTGCTCGATTGCGATGGACTCTATGTTTAGGGTTCCGAGAAGGGTAGATGAAGAACGCGCGTCTGACGATCCTTTCTCATCTTACTATACCAGTAACGATGTCTTGACTTGATGTAATGTTGTACAAATCACACACGCAGCGACGTAATGTCTCTTGCTTCTTCATCGTAATAGTTTTTTGTCGCTGTCGCCGAATCGAATTCGTCTTTGGATCGCTTGGAGCATCGTCGATCGGTCGATCAGCGGACTGGTCGCTGATCCCATATCCCGTTTCGCGACGAAAATCCAGCGAGCATCCGAAATTCCCTCAAAACCTGCTATCGAGTCGGATGTCAGAGGACAAGGATGACGGAGGCGGCGGCGACCTCGCGGAAGTCTATCTATCTACTCAGAAATGCAGAAATTCAAAAGCCAGTTTTTTCGTTGTTTGACCGGGTTTTCTGCTCGTATACACAGAACCGGTTTTTTGAGAGGCGTCCGCCTGAAATGAACCCCAAAATGGACTCTGGGGCCCGCTCTGTCCAGGTCCATGATCGCCCTGCTCTCGACTCCGATCCAATCCTGCAAGTCTTTATTGGTATATATTTTGCAGTGGTTCGAGCTGAGACAGGGCCAGGGACTGAAAGTGAAATAAGAAAAGTAAATGGACTGCGGGTAAACATAGGTGAAGCACGGGCGAGAGGGGTACTTTGCGTTATCAAAACAGCGGGGCACAGCGCGCTGACAGTAAAGGAATAATGTCGAGTGCCGAGAAGAACGTCAGACCCGATAGGAAAAGCCCGGGTCGATCCAGTGCAGTTGCGGACAACTGGATTGACTCACTACGACTGCAACCACCACCACAACTACTTCTAGTGAAAAAGTGAGTGATCGAGTATATGAGTATGTGCGCAGATGAGTTTGTCAGAGAAAAATGATCATAGCGAGAGATCGAGAATTGAAGCGCGTAGTTGTCTGGATAACTGTCACTGGAGCATCGTCACAGTGATCTTTTTGCTTTTTTTCGGTGGGCCCCGAGTGTGGGTCTTTCGGTGACGCGTAAATTTAAATGAGTTCGCGAAACAGTCGCAATCGGAGAAGGGTGTGGTAAGGAATAAGTGGGTGAAATCGGTGGAACATCGGGAGTGGAGCGACGATATTGATATACCACACCACGTGCGCAAGTATTAATGTAATTATTCGTACTCGCAAGTGAGAATTTCGAATTTTCGTCAATCAACCAACAAACCAATCAATCAATCAGTCATTAATACAGTCAGCGAGTCAGTCAGGAAACGATTCGGACGTCTCGTACCAACACGACGTTCGGCTTCTCGGAAGAGCGAATCAATCTTGGCTGATCTAGTATGCGGGCGGTATGATTGACCTTGTAGTTTACGTCACTCGGGTCGGCGGAGCTTCAAGTGTTCATTATCTTTGAACGAGTTTTTTGGCGATTTTTGTTCAATGAACTCTACCGACTGAATCACAGGGACATGGTGCAAAGCTTGAGGGTTGCTTCGCCCGCGAACCTCGGACTGCTTAAGGGTTGCAGTATCCAGGTTTGGAGCTCGCTTGTCTTGAGGGTTGACTCGTGAGCCGGTCCCGTGTGATGAGGAGTAGGTGAAGTTCGATCGGTTTTCCTTCCGCATTGGAGCTCCGGTATTCCATGTTCAGATCAGCATCTGAGGAGGCGCAACGCCCTGCGGAGATGGCCAAGTGATTCGAAGGGAGAGGAGATTTAAGGACTTCAACCAACATGAAGACGATGTGCAGACCATCGTCCGGGTCTAGCTGGGCAAATCGGGCTAGTGAATGTCCTTAAGGACTCTCACACAAAAGTCCGTGCGTCGGCTGGTCAGATCGCTTTCCAACGATCGTAACCGTCGAGTTGTTCATTTTCAAGTGTCTCATTCAAGTGTCTTGACACACGCGGACCCGGTCTCACTACGTGAAGATGGTCTCGGTGACTCCCGAGTCGCCCGCGATTTTTCCAATTTCCCCCAAGGAACTCTGAGCTCGTTCACGCGGTTTCGGTACGGGGGAGAGCTCTATCGAAATAAGTCTTGTTTGAACGTTAGTGTCCCAAGCCGTTGAAAACATGAATCAAGCTCCGAGAGAATCTGATTCTAGAGCAGATGATAAAGGCAGGGAGTTCTCTGAGTTTGGAGACAAGCGGAATGAGACGACGGGGAGGAACGAGCGAGCACGAGAACATCAGATCGTAAGGAGATCGTGCTGTGAGAGATGTAAGCGATAAGGAGATTTGGTAGTCTGAAGAGGAACAATTGAACTTGGAATATGAATCGAAAATCTGTTTCTTCCGGCTCATGGGAAGGGGAAGGAAAAATCTTGAGAAATCCAGAGTATCATCACTGTGTGATATTCCTAAATCTAATAAAGAAGAAAAAAAACTTGAATTGTCATTCTTCTCCCGGGATCAGCTGAGCCAGGCATGACTATTTCCGGGCTCGGGCTGTCGGGCTATCGACCGCTGAGTTTCAGATCGTCGAACTTCTGAGCTCACAGAGCTGATGGAAAATGGAGAGGGGCCTCGATTACTTCGCAGCTTTCGTTTTATTTTTCGAAGTCAATTTTTCCATGGTACTGGGTCCGTCGACCGCGTCTCATGAAGACCAATGGTCCACGAAAACTCCAGACTCAGGAGAGTTGCAGACGCGTGCTTGGAGGAGCCTTCCTCGCTTCCGGAGAACGTAGCTTTCCTTTGAACTCGAAAAGCGCATAAATTCTCTATCGTAACTCCAACGTAGAAGGCATAAACATGTCGAAGAATCTAAACTGAGTAAATGAATCTGATCACAAGAATCGGTCGCGCTTTGACCAGTCTGAGTTCATTTCGTGAATCGTCACTCGGGCCGATCCTAGGGCAAGCACGGTTTCGCGTCGCGATCACGAAGCCCGAGAACCTCGCCGTAGTGGGAGCGAGATTCCCTCCTTCTGCTCGTCGATACCGCACCAACTTCCAACAATATCAAACCGGAGAGTCAACCCCGCTCGGCTCGGCGACACCGCTGTCGTCCGCATCTACAAAGAAAGTTAGTTATAGGTTAGTGAAAATAGAAGAAATCGAGATCTGTCTTGAAATAAATTAGGGTTGGAGTTTATTGTTCGCAGAACATCCTGAGATATACTCTCCACGTCGATCGAAAACCAAGTTTCCGCAAATATTATTCGAGCATCCCATCTAACATGATCCTTCGGGTGGGACCTCCGCAGCACTCCTATCAGGTCATCAATTGATACAATTGATATCGGGAACATTTCACACGCCACGGTTCACGTTCACTCCTCTGAATTCGATCCACGTACATTCAAACTTCGAGGCATACTTGCACCCATAATATAATATCCTCGTACATTCGAATAACTTCTCGTACTGTGGGTTTGAGCGTTTGGAATTGTGTGCTACGAGTCTCACGTTAAAAACAGTAAAAACATTCATTCCTCACGAAATTCTACGGCAACCGGGTCCGCGTTCGAGGAAGGACGCCGCAGTTCCAGACTTCCAAACATTGATTCACTGATCGCTTCGGGGATAATTGAGCAGAGCCGCGCGACGTCGCACAGCATCAATGCAAGGCCTCGAGCTGGCATCCTCCATCCCTTTCTCTATCGTGAAAATCCTAACGAGCGAGTTCGCAGACTCATGAAATTGCGCAGCGTCGTTTACCTCGACAGATCCTCTTTAAGCATTTCTTCAAGGCCTCAGGACTTGGACTCTCGCAAACTTCGTCAACGGGCTGCTGCTCACGCTTCAGAGCTTCCTCCGTCGTGTGTCCGATGGCTATCGATTTGAACGAGAGATTTCTCCGACGTAGCTCTGGCAGAACCGCCTTGACCCCTGAGGGGCTGAAGAACACACAAACTATCCGTCCCGAGGAAACTTGCTCCAACGAACGGAGGTCCACGCATTCTTCGGTCTCGTATGCAGTTATGCGCTCCACGGGAATTCCGGAGAAATTGTTCGGAGATGCTTTCGACGAGGCTGGGTACAGGAACGGTTTCGGATTCACTTGATCAGCGAGACTTCTCGCTATCAAAACTGATAGGGCTTCAGCGCTACCCGTTTCTTCGCCCTCCGCCGGGAGATGTAGCGTATCCCGAACGGCTCTGGCGGTGGAAGGCCCGACGACGAAGACCTGGTGGATGGAATAAGCGTTCGTGAATTTATTTTCGAAGGTATCCCTCGTCTCGCCTCATTGGAAACACTGGAACTTCAGCAGAAGCGACAAACCTTTCTCTCGTTCCAGTGCTCGTAGATTTTGAAAGACCAAACATTTTCAACAGCTTGAACGCAACGTGGGGATGTGAGGATGATTCCTGAGTATTTGTGTGCCGATTGCAGAGCCTTCGTTAGGGGTTCCTGGGCGTACAAGGGGGATCAGTTTAATCCCTACAGCATGACGCTCAACAAGAATCGAGGAGGAACTTGGCTCCGACGAGATTTATGCACTCGAATAAAATCCTATTTGTTCGACGAGACATGGGCAACTAACCTGATTGACAAAAGTGAACTGCAGAACCGGTATATGGAACGTGCGAAAGCCAGCATTGTTCAAGGCGGTTAGGTAAGAATCCGACGGATCTACCTGATCGCCTTTGAAGAGCAGAACCACTCCGGTGAAAGCCATTATGATAGGACGGAGCGACCTTCAGGAAGCAGGATATATTCTACTCCTACAGCTCGTTTGAGGATGTATCATGAACACCATTGAGATCCACTACGCATCGATGATGTCAATGAGTCTACATTCGTCCTGCAAAAGCACGTCCCGTGAGAATCGGAGTTTCCGGTGCCCGCTCATCCGCTCGAGCGTGACGCTCAATCCTCTTCGGGGGAACCGCGCGGAATCACAGAGGGGGCCGATCGGTACACGGTCAGCTCACTCGGCCAACGCGAGTTCCACGTCGAAAATCATCCCACGAGCTACTTGGAGCCTTCGGAAGTCAGGATGTCACCGGTAACATCACACTTAGCTGACTTCGTGTGACGAAAATATTTTCGGCCAGGCATTGGTCCCATAATTTTTCCTTCCCGCTCGTTTCGGTCAGCGAGACCCTGCGAGCGAAATCGTCCGACCGCCATATAATTGATGGTATGAAGATTCATGAGGCGGAAGTCAGCTGATCCCGGCTCTGATAGCCAATAGTAGTATCAAAACCACCAAGGGAACGCAGAAGATGAGGAAAATTTGCTCGCTGACCGCTTGCAAACTTCCACGTGCTTCGTGTCGGATCTCAGAAATACAGTAATGACAACTTTCCGCTGCACCGACGAGGAAGAAAGATGTTCCAACAGCCTAACAGAACTTCGAGGAAAACACACGGTCAGTTGGACAGATCGTAACACTCGGTGACCTATCTGAGCTGATGCGAGATAAGTAAACCGGGGAGCTGACGAGCGGACGCATGATTCCATGCGCCAGGCTCTAGCCGGCGGTGTTTACGTCAATTTTAATGTTCTAATTCGTCGGAGAATCGGTTTTTCGAACGCTATTGTGATAAATCACTCTGAGTTCTGGCGATGCATCCAGCTGAGACATCGTGCTTTCTATTCGAGGGCGGAGTGCTTTAATCTCTCGTCAGTTTCCTCACAACATACAATATCCTGAGATTTTAGGAGAATCTTTTGAATTGTCATGCGAGAACTCACTGTTTCGTGCCGAACATGATTCACACCGGACCGTAGACAGACACACTTTATCAACAACCGTACCGAAAGTACAGAGGGGCACTAAAACCTGACCGCTCCGAGCAGACTGTCATCAGGAAATCCTGTGTTCCGAAGCGCGGCAAAATTCGAACCACCGTGTCAGGCGGTTTTCCTCTTTCTCGGTTTTCCGATTCTCAACCGCCGACCACCGAGGTTTGCCGATCAGTCGCCGGTCGGACTGAAGATCGTTCTGCGTTGATCCGAACGGCTCCCAGGAAGGCATCAATGAGCGTGCGAACACCGTATCTGCAGTGGCGACCCAATGTCGATGACATGCATTGGTTCTTTTTGCTATCCCTCGAAATCGTAAGATCCCGGATTCTTTCCTTGAAAAGACCCCGGATCTTTCCCTGTTTTACAGATCCTCCGTGTGGCGGAAGGAGGGAGACCTGCGTCATACGGCGAGTGAATGGAATTCGAATGATCCGTAAAATGGCTACGGAGGAGGTAATTTACTCGATACCTGTCTTTCTGTAGCCTAGACCCTAGACTACCGGAGCCGGAGGAAGCCGCAGTCACTCTCTCGTCTAGCGTCGAGACTGATCCCCCGACCAGCCGGCCGATTGACGGACTGCGTGGGCCTCAACGCCCGGTGAGGGACTCGGCCTGAATCAGGCAAGGGCTCGCAGGGCCAGGGAAATCTCTCTGTATGGGGAGCGCCGGGCCCTTCTTGGCAAGTTTCTTCGCAACAATCTCCAACAATGGCAATCGAAAAAATTGAAGCTTTGAACTTATTGGACGAGCATGAAAAAGTTCGGTAGGTACCATCGGGCTATAATTTCCTCCTTTTCATCAAATATTTACCGGTTTTTGCGAGAGACCTTGTCAGTTCGCGTTCCCTACGCGCAGCTCAGCGTCGTTTATTCAGCCAATTCTGCGGAACGAAATCGCCCCCTTTCGTCACTCGCTTGATATTTGTTCGATTACGGAGTAATCGGTTTCTCCAAGGAGAAAAATCTTTGCGGCGATAGAGTAGGTTTCCGCGGAGCGATTCGCGGATTTGACGGCGTTTTTCAACATCTCTCTGACAGCTGGTGCGAGAATCGGGAGCCTAAGGGAGCCGCGGCTTGATCAGTCGCCTGTATCCAACCCTTGTGCGGCATGCCCGATGTGCTGTTTGAATCGCGGTCGTTTTGGAGTGGACGGCACGAATGATGGCACCGGGAAACTCATGGTTGTCTGATCGGTGAAGAGAAATTTTTGGCTCACCCAAAGAAGCCTCGGTCAAGTCTCCAGGAGGATACGTCGGGGAGACAGGGCGCCAAACTCTCTTTGCTGGAGGGAGAGGGGAGAGTTATCGTCCCGCTCAATACCATTCAGAAGATGAGAATCCCGAAGATCACAGGAGTCCTCTCTTACGCTCCAGGGCAGCCTCGAAAGGATGCTGACAGAGGACCTTGACAGCTAGAACGTTTCCGGCACTCGTTACTGAAGCCTCGCGCGTCACCGGAGACGAACACGAGCTGTCGCGAGCAGCGGCGGATCGGAGGGGGGGGCGATGGCGCGATCGCCCGCCTCGTAATGCTTCGAGTTTCCTAAACTTCCCATTAATTAAAGGAGCGGCAGGAGCCCGAACCGCCCCCCCTAAAATACTTTGACCGCCCCTCCCGAAAAAATTCTGGATCCGCCACTGCTCGCGAGTCCCGGACTCATTGACGGAGTTGTTCTTCATCTTCATATACTTCATCGGCAGACACCCACAATATGTGTTGTCGATCGTCGCAGCCAGTCATTGACGCTTCCTCCCCAGAGTCCAACTCGGGGAAAACCATTGTAGACATCTGTACGGGGAGCTCGTGCATTGGCCTACTCCGTCGACGACGGAGGAACCAGAGATTTCAGGATGGTTGCGATCGCAGGATGCACGATGAGAGTGCAAGAATCGAGAGTCGAGAAGAACTCGTGAGCTCCAGGGATCGCAGGTCATACAGAAAAACTGTCCGAGTCATCTGCTCCCGAAGATTGCCAGACAGAAGAAGCATGTTGGGCTTCGGATAGAATTTGAGGAAGAACGTAAGTTCCGGAGCTGAGTCGTTAGGAAGGGCATTTCGCTTCTCGCGCGCGCTACAAGGCTCATTGTGGACGGCGCCGGCGGTTCCGGCCTAGAGAATGGTCATCGATTCGTTCCTTAATTTTTTGCCGTCTCCCTGACCATTTCAATAACACGCCGGCTCTCAACGACTTCTGTTCCGACAACCGCGGCTATCAGAAACATTTCTTCTGAATCTGATGACGCGGGTACCACCGCAAGATCGGAGGGGCGGCGCGTAATACGCGCGTGAGCAACAACGAGATCCATATGTACGTAGCTGGATTCTCCGACTTTTTTTCCAATGCGCACTCTGCCGGTCTTCTCTGTCGAGGTGCTCCCAGTATCGTGCCCCCGGCAGGAGCGTACCTTCATAAGATGTTTTCTCTGCGTTGATTCCACAACGGGACCAAGGGGGTTCGCCGAGAATTTTCGAGGAGGAGTCAGTCCGCTGAGTCCTTCAGCCGAAGTCGGAGTCGATAGCAGCAAACTGACAGCTGGAATCGAATGATCGAGAAAATCGTCTAAAGGCCTGAAGCGTCTCTTTCCCGATCGCAGCTCCTTGTTAGCGCTTACGGAGTAAGAGCGTATCAGATGTCCCCAGGCTCACATTCCGTCTCCCACGATTTCTCCCGCGCAAGCGTAGCTACTTACAATGGCTCGAGGCAAATCGGCTGCTGAGTCGGCGAGGAGATACCTGTTTCCTATCCCGGATGTTATCCTCATCGACACAGCGAGGCGCAACGATTTTCAAGCGAGTGAGGGAGATATGGATTGAACCCTATTAAAACATGATTGGATTGTCATTCACCGTCGACCATGGGGTTGGGGAGGTTTGCTCATGGCGATAGACAGGTTTACCCTTGTCGCTTTCTTCTGTGGTGTGTCGTAGTGATATCGGGGGGTCTTGCTCACCCGGACAGCCATCTTTTCCCATGATAAGGGGAAGGAGTTCCCATGGCGGAATATGGAGTCAGCGTTAGAGGGGACACTCACTGAACAACGTCGAAGCGTGATTGGGCGATTCTAGTCCGATAGCCATCCGAATGTCGAAGTATCGACCATCCGACTGAGGGTCAGGTGGTGTTTCCCGTAACACGTCTTAGCTTGCTTAGATCAACAGACCAACAGCGTCTGATAGACTCGCTAGAATCGTATCATTAGTCCGTAAGATTGATGCCCACCTCAGCTCTTGTTCCCAGCAATATTTTTCATCAGAAGAAAAAGACCGGACTCCCAATGGCCAGAATCAGTAACCTCGGGAACTGTTTAGAAAGAAGTAGGTCGAAGTTCTTGCCCGGAAGAGGGACTCGGACCAAAAACTTCGCAACATCATCGCTGTCTATCGATTTTTAGGACCGACCTTCACCGATTGCTATGAATGAGTACCAAGGCTGAAGTTTTGAAAGGACTCGGCATGAATGGGACGATGACGGTTTCGCGGGTATCATCGTCTGATCCAAGAGGTATTCGGATCGCTCTGACGGACAGGCTCCCCTGCTATTTCCGCCCTGTAACAGACTTATGGCTCCCATACCGTCAATATCGATCTCCGTCACCCTGGGAATCACCGTGCGATTCTCGATCGAATTACGTACCTTAAAACGCTGCCAAATCGAGATCTTTCCCCATACAGACCCCCGTCACTAAGAATCCGCGGCTGTTCCTGCTGCATCCGACTCGCTTCAGTCGTAGGCAGGGAGTCGCGTCTCAGACCGCTGGTTAGATCAGAAAATGATTACAAACCGGCTCATTGATATCTGGTTGACTGATGACATGAGACTTCTCTCTCATGGAGCTCTGGACGAGTAGGTGTCAAGCCCGCGATCGTTGAGATCTATCGCAAGCTACAGCATCGCAGTCTTCCAAGAAATCAGTCTTGGGTCACAGTCCGAGGGGTACCTGCGTCTCTCTCCCCTCCGATAAAATTTGTTCCCCCTCATGTGAGAATGAGTTTTATAAAGCGGAAATAAGCTAGAATGTGAATCGGTATGCGGCGATTCAGGAGCTCCGTGGAGGCGAAAGGCCTCTATCAGCCTGGAGCCCCCCCCCCCCACCACCTCGGAGCCGAAGACCCCAAGGCTCCGAAGATAGGTTAACCACCACATTCGTGTAATGAGCAGAAAGACTAGAACCCCCTCAAGAAATAGTACGTTGATCGAGTCCTTACGGGGGAACAGGGACCGTGCGAGTTCTTACCGCTGGCGCTCATCCAGACTCCAGACAGATCAGAGGCTCACTCGGAGGGAATATGTATCCGAATCGCGAATCCCGCCCCCGAGCGGGGAGCTCTGGATATATTGATGAGAGCTATAGATTACTCTGCGAGAGTTCCAAGGTCGGAAGACGGATCTAGGTACTCCATTCTTTTCATACTTCGACTGAATCTGTCGCGTCGGCTGTACGCGAACCATGGGGGCTCCCATGCTGCGAAGACTATCATATTGAATCATTCTCCGACAAGGGACGAGGAAAAAGGTCGACTTCTATACACGGCGAGATTGGAAGTCTGCGCATGTTCGACGCTTGCATTCATCCGAAGAGGTCACAGAATTGGGCTCGGAGGAAAACAGATCCCGTTCACGACTTCGAGCGGGGTACTCGCTCATGATTCCATGCGCCGGGGACAAGTCTGGCAGTCTGGTCTCCTCGAAGAAGTAGAAGCTATCCATTGACTCGCTGAGAGCTTCCAGAGAGTCCTCGGGTGGCCATGGCTCACGAGAAACGAATAAGGAGCCTACTCCGACTTTCCTTGCTAGAGGATCTCAATTCAGTAAAACCTTGCCGATGGGACCGCCGTACTCAGGGACCACCTGACGTTTACGACCGTTTTCTCTGCGAACCGATCGCCATTGAGGCCAATAATTTATTGCTCGCGCAATCAGACCACCTGAGTCACTGTACCTTGTTCTGGAAAGGGACAATGGGACATTCCACGGAAACGACAGTGAGTCTGGCGATCTCGATTCTCGAAGCAAGTATAGAGTCGTCTCCTTCTCCTCCCACTCCATCGAGCCGTTGACTTTGTTCCTACAGCGGCACGCCATGCTCCAGGAAAAGCTATATCGTTCGCCACCCAGAAAAAGAACTCATCTGCTGATCAGCTGATCCTGGACTCCCGGGACACTGATCCAGACCTCAACGGCGAGATGCGGCTCCTCCCTGATCATTTCGAGACGATGACGCACTCCGACGCTCGGACGCATGGTTTTCGAAGACGTGATGAGGGAGGGGGTTGAGGTCTTGCTCTCAACTCGCTCCGAAACGATGGAGCTCCAGCTTCCATTTTTTCTGTAGAGATCTTGACCGCACTCCCGTGACGTCAATCATCATATCACAAATTGAACGGCAGTATCCGCGACTCGAGCAGTGCCAAAAGGTCAATCATTATGAAATAAATGCCCAGATATGTAGCTCT